AAAAAAATGTAGAAATTGTATTCGTTAGTGTAATGTTTCATTAACTAATTAAAATAGGTACGTCATCTTGCTATGCCTAACACTGTATGGAAATCTTCAATATTTATATTATGAAACACTAAACAAAATAATAAGGTACCTAACTAGGAAAATATTATGATTTTCTAGTCGTAGGCATAGTGAAAGTGTAGGTATTTAAATACAAGTATTTGTGAGGGATGATTTAATTTTTAAAAGTAAATTTCTTATTATTATAATTATAATTGAGTAAACTATTATAGATAGTACTATAAAATCAAACGAAAAATAGATTATAATATGACTATAACATATATATTATATAATTTTTAGACTTGTATTTTATCAGATAAAACCAGGGTGGACTGGCCCGGATAGCAAGGTGGAGAAGTCCACCTGGGCCGGTCAACCATAAAAAAATATAAACTAAAGAAAACGAAAAAATAAACATTGTGTGAAAATGTCAAGTCCCTACGGTTTTTCATTTTTTAATTACAACAAAATAAGAAAATCGTTCGATGAGAATTCTTTGATATATGGCTGCAAATCCAATGTCAAAACAATTTTAACTTCAAACGCTCATAAAAAGTTTGTTTGACTTTCCGCAGTATACTTGAAATGTGGTGGTGCAAGTGCTACATTTTCACCACCCAATTTACGCCACTCCACTCTAAATTACTACCTTCTTATGTGTATATATTGTATGTACACACACATCAGTACATATTATATAGTAAATTAACGTACCCTAATTCGACTGCAGACCTGCTAGGTAGTCGATGAACGAAGGGAGACGGAATAAGCTTATTAATATTGATGTACTTAAAATTTAATATTAATCAAGAATACAATTGATATATTATAGAGGTATTTGAAAAAGTAGGTACATTTATTATTCAAGACACAAAAATATTATTATACTAAACATATATATCTCATCGACTCATCACGTATGACTGTCACCAAGGGCGTACGCAGAGAGATTGCTGTTGTGTGCATCGGACCGATAGTCGATAGGTGTCGTCAGAGACGATGAAACAGTTTAGTTAGAAAAGAGTATACCGTAGATATACCTAATTATAATATATGACCACAGATGTTTGTATCATAATATAAACGTCTGTGTGACTGTATATACAATATTATAATATCTTATGTATTTAGGGTTATGATGATGATACTCTTTTTAGTATTATTTAGTTATACGAAGAATGACTATCATTGTATCATTGTACAATATAAAAATAAAAAACATATCTGTCTCAGTGGTTATTGACGCATATTTTTCAGTGGAGTAGAGTGGAATAAGTCGTATAACAATGAAATTCTCAAATATTATTGTATAATATAAAGTAGGTACCTAACCATCTAAACTTAAATTATATAAAATAATACGTACATGTGGAATCTTAAGATTAAATCTAGGTCTATATCTAAATGACGATCATAAACTTGACTCAAGTCTGTGTATAGCATATGCATTTATCTTTAAACCTCGATAAAACATTTTCATCAAAATTATGAATAGTAGAATAATTTACTTAAACTCCAATATCATAAACTATACTTCTATACCTACTTAGTTATATAGGTCGACAGACAGTATATTATTCTGCTAAGAATAGTTTTTCGAATACTTACCATAATGATGATATAATAATATTATTAAATATATTTTCTAATTACCTATACATAAAATATTTACGAATACGATTTGTCGATTTCTGTGAAAATGTATCTTCATGACTATCTATATAGGTACGATAATACGATATAGGGACCTACAGGCTACAATTATGTGCGACTAACTATTTATGTATTTATTTATTATGGATTATATGTACAAGCATACATACATAATTATACAAATCATAGATAAATACCTATATTGTATTGCCTATTACTATTGCCTATTACTACAGCTGACACTGCAATGCTTATTGCTATTGCTAGTTTCAACACTTTTTGGATGATGTCACACACTGTATTGAATCAATGTCTTTTTAAGTTTAAGTTTAA